GCTACGGTCAATTTTTTATTTTGCCTTCCATCGCGCTGTTTTGTGATTGTTGTATTTTTGAATATCCATCTGAATTTGTACGTATTTTCCTAGTTTGGGATCTGGCAGTTCTTAGGACATTGTTGGTCATTCATAAGGTGAAGGATTGTAATTCACAGTTCGATCTACTCTATTGGGTTACTCAAATTCCGGTCCATTATCCGTTAACGTCACCATAGTCCCGAATTCAGTTTTTTACCATGCAAAATAAAAGGAACGTCTTAGTAACTAAGATTGTATTTCTATCGTTTGTATTGTAATTCGTGACTTTTGGTTTGGATCTCTTTATTAGGCTGGTTCACTTTGCACACCCTCAACATCCACTGCAATCGGTGAGAGTTTCTTAAAACAAAACCGACTGAATTGAATTTGATCTGGGTAATAAGCGTAAGCAATATCACCTGCAATGAGGGCGGAGATTGAACATGAGAACTTGGTCCATATCAACGGTGTGAAAGAGAGTCGAAGGTTACTTGCGGTTGCCTTTTACGGAACTGGTCTTTCCAGTTTTGCTCAGAATAAAGTCACAAAAGCATTTTATATAGTCGTTGTTCTCCATGCCCTATTCTCTTCCGTTGCGGTTTTATTTCTCCATTCTGCAACAGCTAGCATTGTTTGAGTCGGGGGTGCTCCGGTCATCTATGATACAACGTTATACGTACTTAAACTCTGTTGATTTCTTCCTATTAGCATAGTTCCTAACGATCTTGACCGACACTTGAATTTGATGATGCTTCAGTGGACATCTTGTTGCTATTTTTTTGTCATATGAACACTTTTTTGCTATGAATGTTAGAAGCGGTCTTAGTTCCGTTATTTTTTTTACTCAAGTCTTGTTATTATTGCTTTCGTAGAGTATTTAGTTTGCATTTAAGATGGATTCGATCGTAGACTTTTGAGGATTAGTAGTACTTGTGACAAAAATATTAAGTCGTATTGATTAGGACTCATAGTAAGAAATTGGATACTGTGCTCTGTCATGAGTCTTCACTTTTGTAGCTCAATTGTATCGATACATTTCAGCTTTGCATTAAAAAAACTACCATTGTCGAAGTTAACTATTACTGGCAATAAACAATCATTATGCGCTCGTGTTAATTTTTTTTGTCCTGGCGAGCATCAGTAAATGCTAGGCCGTTTTAAGTCATGTCACAGAGACTATAGCATCTTACAACTCTTCATCATTCCTTTAGATTATTGACACCGATCGTCTTCTCTCGCGTTGCATTGATTTCTTTCGCTTTCATGGCTTTGCCGAAGACGCCGCGCACCTGTTGGAACAACGTCTTGATGCTCTGAATCGGACGAATGCTGGTGGTGAGAGTGTAAAGAAGCAACAGCAGAGTCTACTGGCATTGCTGATTCAGGCCTATTCCAAATTCGACCACGACAAAGCGAGTCGAGCAAGTCGCCATCTGGAGTTCAAGGAGAAGTTAACCGAGAAGGAGGTAGATTCTCTGGAATCGATATTCCTGTTCAATATGAAAAGCATCAAGAAGACTGGAAGGGCGACCACTGCGCCAACACCGAAGAGGTGGGTCTGGTCTTCCTTTCATTCTCAAATTAGTCCTCTAACAGCTCAGCTTTTGCCCTTCACGGCGCATGCAATTGCTTATTTCTCCAGGCAATAATACAATTTTTGCCTAGGATTGCTGTCTTATAGCTTGTTCCAAGGGGATCTGTTGGTCTTTGTTTCTGTTACTAATTTGAACGTAATTAGATTTAAAATTGTTCATCATCGTCCTGATTCGTTTGCTATGCTTGAAGTTCCAAATGAAGTAGACTACCAGGATTGCGAGCATGGATGCGCTTGCTAGGTTTTGGCTCACAATGTCTTGTTTTTGTCACATAACCTAATAAGTACTCCTTTTATAAAATAGGGTGAGCAAAATGATAAGCGACGAATGAATATTTTAATCAGTGGTGGCTGTTTTCTGTTCAATATGAAAATGCATATTACCAAGTATCCGACTTGTTATCAATCCGCCTAAGTAAGGCGTTATTCATAATGTCGTTTTTTCCACATCTTGTTCTGGTGCGTTAGATCATTGCTTAGGCAACACAGAGCTTGTCAGTTTGGTTGAACTAACACGGTAGTTAACAAGTGTTGAATCCTATTTCCCATTCATATCCAATTTATAGATTCAGGAAACTATATTGTTATTCTTGACTTGCTAACCTTCCATTCATCATCTTATCACTGCTGATAACAATCCACTCCAATTCCCACCACAATCACTTTGAAAGATAAAGTTAGGAGAAAATCACTCGTTAAGTGATGACGCTGATATTGAAAGACTTCAGGGACCATTTGGTTACCTTCAAAGAATTCCTCAAAAATTAAGGCAGTAAGGTGAGGTATTGCCTAATTATTCTCCGTTTTATATTTTTTCAACATTCAACAGTGGTAATCTGGCGGAAATGATTGTATTCGTACTATTGTTGAGGTGTAACCTATTCCTAGAACTTTGTGAATCTGCATCTGCAGCTGCAATTGCCCCTTTTGCAGCGTATCTGTGGTATCTGAATGATACCGATCTTACACTAGATTGTGTTTATAATCCTGTCCCAAACTACACATTCGCAGACATTTTTAATGCTCCCAATTTTTTGTTCAATTGAAGACAATTTGTGCGATTCTACAGTAAAACTAAAATCTCTGTTGTGTCCAAACGCTTTTTTTAAATTATGTTTGACCGTGGCCGACTGCGAAATTGGAGGACCTTTGTCGGGTTCTTTCAGTGGAGGTAAGGCTGGTGAATCGGAGGGGGCGATGGCAGGGGCACCAAAGAAGCATAAGAAGAAGAAGAAGCGATCATCTCGGCTACCGAAAAATTACCAGCCTGGCGTGCCTCCGGATCCTGAGCGTTGGCTGCCGAGGCGTGAGCGCACTGGTTACCGTGGCAAGCGACGAGACAAGCGTCAACCTGTGCACCTCCAGCGTGGCCCTCAGGGTATCACCTCTTCTGCGGCTCCCGAACTGTGAGTACGGTTGTCTTATCAATATCTCTGCTGAGCGGGTTCCTTTCTTTGGGGGCTAGGTGGATGTTACAGATGAGAAACTCGTTTTTTTTTCAAATTTAATTAGTTGTGTCCTGTTAAGATTATGCATTTTTACCATTTTAAAGCTTCTCGATCACTTGTAACTCTTGAACAGTCGCGGTGACATTGCATCTATCGTCTCAAGTATCATTTAATGCATCTTAACTTTTGCTCTTTTGCATAACTTGAGGGAAAAACTTGAACTTTTCTGAGGTTTTCGCAGGTATTACAGTAGCGGGCAATACCTTGATCAATTAGTGTTCTCAAATGTCCCTCTGCGGGTAAAAAACACGCAACTGCCCTTCGCCTTACCGCATGTTTTCACACTGCACTAACTGCCACTATCCATCTGATGGCGCAGTGCCTAGAATGACCATAAAGGTAAAATTCAGCCGACCCCTACTTCTTTTGCCAACTCTTTCATTTTGTTATCGAGATTTGTAATATGTCTGGTCAATTAGAATACACTATTCTCACGACTTTCTTGTGACCCTTTCACACGAAATGCGTCCCAACCTCCTCCTCATTCAAATGTCAACTTGGCGCTAGTAATGTCCGTGCGGACTTATGTACAACAGTCATTAGGATTTCGTTTTGGTACCACTATATATCCTTTAATCATATCTCCATGAGATTTGCGCTACACTATTATTTTACTCAAGCAAGCGTTCAACACCATAGTGCTCCCTCAGCACAACCGCTATCACGATGACGAGCAAAATGTCAAATGGTTTATTGAAATTTCAGGGACATGGGCAACGCAAGTGCGTCTGTGGCTTCAACACCACCAAGCGCTGGATCCGGCAGCGCTGGCATCAGTGCCGGTGCTAACAACGCCCAGTGCCGACCTCAGCAGAACAAACCTCACAAGAACAAGAAGGGAAGAAGGCGCTAATTAAGACGCCCTGACTTTTGTGTTAACTTCGCAATACTGATGAATATATCTAACAGTCACACCCATTAGCCTCGTTGGATGTGCAGTTGGGCGCTTTTCAAGGAAGAGGCCCAACGGGAACATTCATTTTATTAAAAAGCGTGTGAACGTAAATGAAATGACAGGACGGCCGGCACATAAGTGGATATACAAATATAAATTTACATGTACGTGCAAACCCAACGAAGGAGAAGACATGGAAGTTCTACTGCATGAAAGCAGAGCACCAGCTGTCAAGGGCATCAAAGCAGTCCTTAGCCTGTTTCTGGTTGGCGGAGGAGACTAGCTTCATCCAGTCAATGAAGAGCTCTTCATCCTTATTTAGAAGAAGGTACTGACCCAACACATTGTAAGCCATGCCGTATCCTTTTCTCTTCAGTTTCTGGCCTAGAACCTCTCCGACACCTGGTAACTCGAAAACACTCTTGTCGCCGATAGGTTCTGAGACGAAATTGCGATGTTTCTGTGAGGTCGACATCTATGTAATTGTTGAAATGTTAAGAGTTGTCGTTTCGAAGATCGATTTTGCAAGATCTAGTACTTTAGAGTAGGATTAGTCGTAGACTCAAATCCAGGTCCCGATGCTTTTTTAAAGCCAAGTTTAAGGACACAGAAAGCTGTGAGATTGAAGTAGTTAGTATTCAATAAGATAGATGCAACAATGACGCACTTCAGAATGTCAATAAATGATGGACAAACGCAAAAATAAGGAGAAAAAAACGAATAGCGCAGGCTGACAAACCAGACCAGTTCGTAAGTACTGTCCCTACGTCAAGTTAATTTAAACACGTTATATTCCTTGAAAGAATTATTAAACATAAATTGTTAATATTGGGTATTTGATTTTAACAATCAACTTCGACCATAAAATCGTACACGCGCTTCGTTCATGGAACAAATCCACCTGTAGAGATCTACCATGGTTTGGCAAAGGTGGGATTTGGATGCGCAGATAGTACATATAATCCGTCATACACCATCTTGTAAAAGACTACTAATCGTTGATATTGATTAAAGCTTACCAAAGTGTGCTGCTTAAACAAGCCTTTCTGGAAGTGTTTATTGAAAATGAATATTTAACGGTAAATGCTGTACTGGAATGAATTACGAGTGTGGTTGTAGTCCTGTAGGCTTACTTAAAAAATACAAGCTCTAGTTGTAGCGTCCTGAGACCTCCTGACCGGTAAAAGAAGTCAGTCAGTGCAGTTGGATGTGTATTCTGAAGACGACAGGACAAATGGGCCTGAGCATGGCCCGAAGGCCTAAAGTGACCGCCGAACATCAGGTAGTCACATAAGCAAAGCATTACACTAGTGCCTTCTGTAATAGTATGATATCTGGCGGTTACTTTGATTTTCGTCTTGCACTTGCACCCGTGGACTTCCCTACTAGTCAAGCCAAGATCCAGTCCCTTCTTCTACTAGAATATACCCATTCAGCTGAGTTTAATGCTTTCCTCTACTAAGTTAGAAGTCTTGGAGAACTACACATTATGCGCTTCCCTTTATATTTGACTACCCGCATAATTGGGGACTACTTTAACATTCTCCTTGCAAGGTCGCACACATGTGGTACTCGCGCTAGTCATTAGCTAATACGAGGCAAGTGATGTGCACCCGGACTTTTCAGCAGCTTTTTTGGAGATAGGCATCACGTTGTCATACTTCTCTTGATCATCAACCTATGTCCAAGATGCAGCGTATACGCATGACCCCGAGGCGAATTGTGCAGCCTTTTTCTCGGCATACTTGGAGACTCTCCAAGGGTTTGCTTACAAAGGCTATCTTTAGCAATAGACGGATCTTGGTAGCAATACAGAAATAAAAGTGAGAAATGCGAACCAAGGCCCAAGTAGAACAGCGCCCATCCTCTTCTTCGGCACAGAATTCAATTATATTATTATTGTCTCTAACCTACAAATTGCAGTTACACAACTCCAATGCTATTACAAGCACTTATCAGGGAAGAGGTCCATTGTGGTCCCAGCCCCAATAAATATGCCATCGAATTTAATAAGGGGAATTCTCAAACGATACTTTTATAGACAGCCAAAGGTTGTTTTGCTCCAGTTGCTAGTAGCTTGCTGTGGGGGATGGAAATGGGGCGGATTCAAGCGCAGACGTCATTCTCAGCTCACCACTTGTGGAAAAATTAGGGATTCTCTTGCCAGAAATGTGCAAGTCATTTTACACCCTCGAAGTTTGTCAGGAATTGTGAAGACAAGTATTTAAGTCATAATATGGTCGAATTTGCCTTACCAGTGTAGCGTTCGACACCAAATGCATTTTACTTCTTAAATAGGGTTACTTGGTGAAACACCATCTCCTTATTATCTGTCAAAAACATGTGTGCGATTCTAATATTACGCCTTTTAAGTTCTAGCTGGAAGTCGCGGAATGCTAATCTTATGAAAATGAAAAGCAAACTCGACACGGGACTGATTCGTATCAC